TCTTAACTTTTGTCGTAATAAAAAATATAAAGTTTAATAATTTTTTATTTAAACTGATGATGCATAGGTATATAAGTACAAGACAATGTTATGTTATGATATAAAAAAAGTGATAATAGTGGTTTTCTTAAATGATGAACGCTATGCACCTGTTCTTCTTGGCAAATTGGTTAATTACATCATCAATGTTTGTACGCCGCAATGTTGAAAAACTTCTGTCTACTGTAGCAATAGATACAGGCAGACCAGCAAGTATGTTGTACATCTCTCCTATTAGTCTCTTCACAAAGAGCGATTCTTCTTTAAAGAACTGTAGTTCAGTTCAACACTGATCCAATTTATGTGCCAGATCATTACCAGAATATTTCAGTAGTTGTGAGGGCAAAAGTATGTTGAATTTTAAATGATAAATATTTTCTTCGCCAAAAAGTTCTCTCATGTCAAAACAATTTTGCATTTGTTAACGCTTCAAAGTGATACTTGAACTGAGAGTGCGTTAGTCACCATCTTTACCAGTAAGTTTGGTAAAGTTTGTTAGTGGTTCAGCCACAAGTTTTTTGGCGATAATGCATGTCTTTCCTCCAAGTTATAACCTTTCTTAGGTTTCCTTGGAGCTGTGAGAAGATTGTATTTTATATCATCAGTAATATTAAAATAAAAAATAAATTGTATCCAAATAATTGCCTATATCCGTGGGATTATAAAGGAATCAGCCGATGAACTTTGTTCTATAAGTTGGAACGAAGCGCTGGGCTGTTGGGTTCTGCCTGTACATCAGGTGGTGGTTTTGCGGCTGAATTGTGACTTCAAACATTTTATTCGAACTGAAAAATGCAACACTAGTACACTTAGCACTAAACAAGCATGGTCACACTCCGCGAATTTCTAATATGAGCACAACACTGACTGATGTCCGTGGTATGTGGTAATAGCCAATAATCGCAGTTGTACTTTTCATCACTTCCTAGCTATCTATGTGCCAGACAGAAACGTATAAAATACGATGGCACGAGTGGGCGTGCTACATAGGACATTGCAACTACTCGATAACTCAATTCAGTTGAGTCGCCTGATGAGAGAAAGAAACGAACGTGGGTGGCGCGAGAGCTGCGCAAGGGGAGTGCCTCCCATATGTATCCGCCACTCTCGCCGCCACTGTGTTGTGTACATACTTGATGACTTAAGAAACAAAATTTTGTGGAATTTTCTCCATTTTAGTGGTCCGACCAAGAATTGTAGTGTTTTTTTCGAATATACGAAAACTAATTTCAGATCCGTGATTCTCTTGTTCAAAAATCCCCCAGATATCAAATTTCGTTGAGATCAGAATTTTTTTCGCACCCCCGTTTAAAGGTGCGCCCTGTTGTAGGAATTTTGAAAAACTGTTTACAAAATCGGAAAGGGCATACCCCAATACCTATTCGACGTGCTACCAGTCTTTGCAAGTATCTGGATACATGTGGTCAACAGTGTTGCACATCCAAACCAAAACCAGTTGTGCGTCCAAACGAAACAGTGTTGACGTTTAAAAATGGATCCGTCTACTGCTGCTGGTGTTTGTGCTGCATTTATTATAATAGCTTCCCACGGCCAGAAACGAAAAAGAAGATGGTGGCAGCAAGAATTTTTAAAAAATAGGATAAACTATGGAGACAACTTAATGGCGGAGTTACTTTTAAACGATGGTAGTTCGTTCCGCAATTTCGCCAGACTAACAAATCTTGCCTGCAATGGATAAACAGCTGCGCACAAATATATTAACATTATATGAAATAATACCTAACCTACTAGCCGCAGTCACTTGTTGTCAGCACTGTCCAGACGGAGCGATATTATCCATTTGCAATGGAACACACAGGTACAAGCAACAGGCAACAACTTTCTTTGATGTCATGCCGCCCGCTGTTGACGAGTATCCATCAATTTGTTGCTAGTTGACGAGATACATGCGGACAACATCAACAGCAACATGTTGCCAACAAACGAATAAGAAATTTTGTTTAACTTTTTGGGCTGTGGGCAATGGGCATAGCCTACACTTTGCAAACATACATCTTTTTTAATAAAGATTTTCAGTTAATGGAGTATTTGTAAACTGGAAATAAAAAGAACAATGCCGGAATACTACTTTAAATTATAATTGTATACTTTTTGTGTGGAATCAGAATTTTGAAAACTACGCTCTCAAGCAAAGTTACTTTTACACACAAACAAATACGGTGAATTCCTGTACAACTTTTCCTAAACAAGCAGCCAAAATAATCGCCGTAAGCTTAAATGTAATGTAAATATCACCAGCGCTGGGATTTTAAATACGTAAAAATATACCTACCAACCTCATAGAGGTATGAAAAGCATTTGCCTATTGCTTTGTATTTGTAGATTAGTCTTGAGATTTAAATCATAATTTGCTAATGCAAAGTTTCTAAACGTGAAAATGCGTGTATTAATTCAAATTTAATATTTGAGACACAGCATATGTATTATGAAAATTAATATTTCACTTTTGATATACTCTACCTCTTTTATGTTTATTATTTGCAGTTTTTGTCTTAATCTGAATTTATTATCATTTCAAAGTTCAAAGGTATGTATTTCGTTACAGAACAAAAAAAAATGTAGGTACGAATATGGTACCTAACCAATTATTTCAAATAAATTTCTGCGTTCGATATAACAATGAATTGAAAATAAAATCCTTGTTGTGACCGGAAGAAAATTAAATGAGAAGAAATTTGAGGCGAGTGTAAAGACAATTAGGTACGAAATTAAACGCATCTCGCCCCAAGTAGGCGCTGATATTCAAGATCTTTGATCGTCGTTGTAATTGCGAGTTTACTTCTTGATATCGTTGATCTGGAGGAAGCAGAGACCACGTACTGCACAGATTTGGATCTCGTTAATTTTCAATGCAAACATACATCAACCAACCTTGGAGATTTTCTACCAGATGAACTTCATGGAGGTCGACGCAACATCGAATGAATACGCAAAAGTGGAAGGTACTGTAATTTGTTGTTTTTTTGTAATTCTGAAACCGTAACATAAATACAGCAGCAGAAATACCCCCCTATCGATGGACGGTCGGAGGGGGAGCAAGATCGGTGTTTGCCATAGGCGCCATTTACCTACGGCACGCCCCTGAACAAAACAAACCCCTTCCGACGAATCCTTCCGAAACAAGAATCGCTAGAAATAAAAATCACATATAACATTGAAACAACTAAACACAAATTCGGAATAATCCCTACCCTCAGGCAAGAGCGGACGACCCAAATTGAGTTAGCTCTAGCACCACTTGTTGCTGTCTCCGTAAGTAACCGACAAAATTACATCGTGTATATCCAATAATTACACCCAATGATGTAAAAAGAGATCTCCCGATAAAAAAACGGCATCCGGACGATCCCCAATCTGTTTTCTGCAAACCAACCAAATCGATGTCCCGATTTCTAACCAATTTCACATTACGCAACAACTGTCAAGTGCCAGCCACAATTATCGCGATCTTCTACAACCTTATGTATGTTCTACAAGGTCTGGGATCGTACAACTCCGAAAATTCACGAAGACAGCAAATCCGAAAATTCACGAAGACAGCAAATCAATAATCTACTACGCGCAAAATCCCTACTACACATGACCACACTGTTAATAACTAATTTCTACGCGCATTCGGGCTACAAACTAAAACTGTTTGTAGGTAGGTACCAATGTACTATTATGTATTTACAAGTTTTTCTTAGTGTAGCTGTATTGATAGGTATTCTTTAAATTTACATTAGTTAGTTATAGGTACTGATAATTTACAGAAAAACACGATTAATAGTGTTGTACTTCCTGTGTTAGTGGAGGTTGAGTGAACTCACCTCAAAGATCAGTTTAATTTTTTCCCTTCGGAAGTACCTATAAGGTAAAACTATCTTATTTTACTATTGCGGGCTAGTCGAGTAAATTTTGTAAATATCCGTTAGAATGTATTCCCTCTCCCTCTCCCTCACCCTCTTCGTTTTAAAATAGCAATCGAATTACTGGATGATCACGAACACAGAATAAACCTATACACATCAAGTCACATCAAATTGAAGTAATAATGAAACATTTTACGATTTATTTTAATATTTTAACTAAATCACACAAATTTTAAGGACAAACCACAGACTACGGAATATTTTTCAATTTTTTAATCATCAAAAGTGGGAAATAAATAGCACAAAATTTACTCCTGAAATTTGCTATTAACAATTTGAAATAAGAGGGGGTAACTGAGCTATAGCTCACAGCGCCACTTTCGAGAGGGCGGCAAGATGTGCTAAATTATATGTTTTGCATTGTTTTCAATTCCCCTCCTCCATGGTTCTTGGTGAATTTTGTTTCAAAATCAATACAGATAAATAACCGTATGAAACTCGGTCACTAAATACGCAATTTTACTATTAAACACATTAGTTACGGGGCCGCCGAGCTAAATATAGCCCAGGCTGCCCAGGGCGTTAAAAACATAGTCCGGGGCCTGGAAATAAGCCTTCTCGATCGCATAGATACCTATGTGGTGAGTAAAAAAAAATACTCGTAGGTGGTAGGTAACTTGCCAAAGTGCTCGTAAAGTAAATGATCTTGAGTATTTTTTAGCTACTCAAAACTTAGTCTGCATCAGAATTGGAAAATTGCTCTGTTAATAATCTGATCGATATATTCCTCGTAATGAAAATTGTCTTAAATTCAGCATTCAAACTGTTTTCATCAACAAACCGAACTCCCCCTATTTCGCGTCGAGTACTTTTTGTCAAATAAGTATCAATTGAAATAAAATCGAGCGGATTCTAGGCATCAGTTTTCATACAACATTTTCGAGAAATTTCATTTTACTTAATACTGTCAAACGCAGATGTTTTGTTACACATTTAAGTATTTAAGATACACGAGAATGTCTGATATCGTAATATTACTGATCAATTTTTGTCCAAAAGTTGATTTATAACTTAATTATATATACTTACAAAGCTTACACATCTGAAACCGGATTAGAATTATTATAGACTGTTAAATCCACCATTAGCTATATAGGGACTGCAGCAAGTAGCAACCTTCTCTCGTTATATTTGAGAAATCTCGAAATTTCATAGATGTGTTGTCGGACACAATGCAGATCTGGAAAGAAACTTAACATGAATGCAAGGTAATGTTTGTGTTATACAAATTTATCTACTTCAGCATTGCACAGATTAAGCACAATATCATATAATAATTATATCATTCCATTTGAAATTTTCAAAAAAACCTGCAAAGTTTATGTTAATGTCACATCGCGCCCTCTACCACTCATTACATTTGCTTAAAAAGACTCCATTCATGTAAAATCTGATTCCACGAAGAGAGCTCCTTCCAACAAGACCTATTATGTGAAAATCTGTTAACCTAAACCGAAGTTACATTCAATTCCTTAAAGAGATGTTCCCCTTCCCACACCCCTCATATTGTATGAGCTAGAGCAATATGTGCTGCATCAAAATGATGCAAAATTGAAACAAGATTGCTATGCATGTATTTTTAGCGCATTTTTTAAGAATTAAAAAAAATGTGCTATTGTTTGCGTTTTATCCGTCCGTCCGTCCGTCCGTTCGTCCGGACCCACTTCTACCGTTTTGAACTACTTCTAGAGGAATGGTCTTAGAATCCTGGAATTTTTTGCAGTAGGTAACCTATTAATACCTTCTTGAAGGTGTGCCAGACGGCCATCAAATTTCGTTGTCTAAAAGCCCCCCCCCCCCCACGCATAATTTCCTGAGATGCTGTTTGTTAAAGTAAAACGTGCATAGCTTTTACATACGACCACCATTTGGTCTCAGATTTGCATACGCATGCCTATAGTGGTTCCAAGTTAAACTTTAGAAAGGGGGGGAGGGAGGTAAACACATGTTCTACCCTTCATGGTATTCTAATGAAAGGTCTCATCGAAATAAATTGGTTTGTACAAACTATAACTTTCCCGTGCGACTCTTTTTCCAGATCAGTGAGGGACGGGGCTTGAGGGGGTGGAGGGGAGAGGGGGGAGTAAAAATTAATTTTATCTCTCATTGTATCCTAATTAAAGGTCTCAACGAAAGGAACCGTTTTCTACCAACTACTGCTCTTCTTTCTAGGTGGAGGTAGAGGGGGTGGAGTGGAACTAGTTTTATCCTTCATGGTACTCTAATTAAAGGTCTCAACGAAAGGAACCGTTTTCTGCCCACTACTACCCTTCTTTCTGTCTTTTCATCAAAGTACGTGGAGGAGGAGGGGGGGGGGAAGTGGAACTAGTATTATCCTTCATGGTACTCTAATAAAAGGTCTCAACGAAAGGAATTAATTTCTACCAACCATAGCCCTCTTCCTCGACCTCTTATCTTGATCGAGTATATTCCCTTATACCTCAAGAACGGATTGTCGGAAGAGTGTACTCACAAAGGGCAATTGAGATGTCTGCACGAAATATATCCGTTGGTATTTAATTAAGTATTAATGTGTATCTAGAATCTCCCCTTCATAACAATTACAATCCACTCTCTATTTAGAGAAAGTTATGCCACATTATCTTTAGGATGAAAGCGGAAGCCGCTTTTATGTTTTAATCCAAAATACTCATCCTACTGATGGCGGAGTGTAGTGAGAGTGTTTCTCATAAAGAGTCTGTTAAAGCTTCGACCAGCGACAAAGTTGTAAGACAATTTCCTGAAGTTCAAAAACTTCGTAAAATCCTTTTGAAGGACCCGGGGCAAAAGGTAGGGACACATGCGGTAGATATACGTCTACCGCGGGTGAGGCACTCACATGTCTCCGGGAAACACACTTTCCAGGCTCTGGGGACTACTTAACTTCGGGCCCACCAAAAGGAGCTACTCGGGTCGGTGTAAGGACGATCAACCGGAAGGTAGCTTCCCGGGTGGTTACCGAGGGATCTCTGAGATGGGCGGTCAACACGTTCAGCCCATTTAAGAGTGCAGGACCGGATGGGATATTCCCGGCTCTTCTACAGAAGGGTCTGGAGCCGCTGCTCTTACACTTGTTGCATCTCTTCAGAGCCTCTCTGGCTTTAGGGTATATCCCCGAAAGCTGGAGGAAGGTAAGAGTTATGTTGTGTACCTACCTAAGCCGGGTCGTGCTAAATATGACGTGGCGAAGGACTATAGGCCCATCAGCCTTTCATCGTTTCTTCTAAAAACGGTGGAGAAGCTGGTGGATGCATACATAAGGAATGGCGTACTGGTTAGTAGACCACTACATCCGTTCCAACATGCTTACAGGGCTGGTATGTCCACGGAGACGGCTCTACACAGCCTGGTGTGCAGGCTGGAAAAGGGAATATCTTCCGGGGGGATAGCTCTGGGAGCGTTTTTAGATATCGAGGGTGCGTTTAACAACACCACGTTCGATTCGATTAGTGAGGCTGCTGAGAGCTTTGGTATTGATGGGTCGATCGTAAGGATCCGAGCCATGCTCGAAAGCAGAGTCATTATATCCTCAATTGGGATGACGGAGATGAGCTCATCGGTTACTAGAGGATGTCCGCAGGGTGGGGTGTTGTCTCTACTGCTGTGGTGCCTGGTACTAGACGGACTCCTCCGCACCTTGAACGAGGGGGGAGCGTATACACAGGGATACGCGGACGATCTCGCGATCGTCATAACTGGGAAGTTTCCAAACACCGTGAAAGAGCTCATGCAGGGGGCTCTTGAACAGGTGGATAGGTGGTGCAGTGGCCTTTCCGTTAACCCGGAAAAGACCGAGGTTGTTTCATTCACGAATAGAAGGAGAGCGGATCTTGCTGGACTCGCTCTTCGAGGACGTCAACTGGGTCTGACCAGGTCAGTGAAATACCTGGGAGTCATCATTGACTCTCGCCTGACCTGGAAAGGGCACATTGAGCGCATAAGCAAAAAGGCCACTGCATGTCTGTGGGCATGTAGAAGGGCTTTTGGTTGTACATGGGGCTTGAACCCTCGAGTGGTATACTGACTTTACACTGCAGTGATAAGGCCAATAATACTGTATGGTACACTTGTATGGTGGCCTGCCATGCGCAGGGTAACCTACACGAAGCAGCTAGGAAAGGTCCAGCGACTCGCCTGTCTGGGAGTCACTGGAGCTCTAAAAACCACGCCAACCTTGGCCATGGAGGCACTTCTGGGACTAGAGCCTTTACACTTAGCTGTGGAGGCAGAGGCTCGGAAAGCTTCCATACGGTTAAACGATTGGGACGAATGGAAGGATCGAGGCAGCCTTGGGCACGGGAGGATCTGGGAGGAAACCCTCAGGACCGATCCCCTCCTCGCAAGGAGGGACGTGATCCGGGCTATCTTGCTAAGACCAAAGCGTTATAAAGTCATTCTCCCGGATAGGGAGCATTGGCTGAACTCGGATTGCCCGTTCCTCAAACCTGAGGGGCTCGTGTGGTTTACAGACGGGTCCCAAACAGAAAGGGGAACGGGCATGGGTATATATGGTGATCGACCGAGAGCCAGCGTCAGCGTCTCCCTTGGTCAGCATAGCACCGTGTTTCAGGCAGAGATGTTAGCCATCATGACCTGTGCACAGGAAAACCTCCGTAGAGGTTATCGCAATAAGCATATATACATATGCAGCGATAGTCAGGCGGCGTTGAGGGCCCTGTCGGTAGACAGGTTCCGATCAGCTACGGCGCTTGATTGCAGGCGAACCCTAGATAGATTAGGTGAGTCTAATAGGGTAAGCTTCATTTGGGTGCCAGCGCACTGCGGAATAGGGGGCAACGAAAGGGCGGACGAGTCGGGACACTGGATGGTCAACTATCACCGGCATAACATTGGGCTCGCGGAGGAGTCCACGTGCAGGTTCTGTGGCGAGGCAGATGAAACTACCGAGCATGTGGTCTGTCACTGTGATGCTTTGATCAGGGACAGATATCAACTCCTTGGAGATAGATATCTGGAACCGAGGAGGGTGAAGCAACTTAGGCTAAACAGGGTCCTATCCTTCATTGAGAGGAACGGGCTCTGAACTCAGTTGCGAAGAAAGGGGGTACGCACAATGGGCCTCTGGTGTGCCTAAGTGCTGCCCGGTCGGGCTCCCCTGCGAATAGAATAGAATAGAATAGAAGACAATTTCAAACATCACTTTCTAATTTATTGAGGCCATATCGAACGTTAATACAAATAATTTATATACAAATTGAAATGTTATAGAATATACTAAAATACGATTTCGGGTAAAATTTAATACAAAACTCGTCAGTAAAATGACATTACCTGACTCGTAAATTAAAATCAATATTTCCTCGCCAGTAATGTGTCATTTTCCTGACTTTTATGTAAATAACTAATACAGAGGAGACTGGGCAGGGTTGATACATTTTTGAAATAATGTTTTTCTCGGATTATTTTAATATATTTATATTTTACGTACTAATTTCTTCTTTAGAACTTATACCAGAGCTGTAACAGTTACCCGTTTGTAGGTATATAAGATTGTACACTGGTGCAAACTTATAATGCTATTAGTATTTAGTAGTGCAAATTATCTCAAATCTCCCTTTGTGAGGATACGGGTACGGAACCACGGAGAAATAATACCTACAATTGTTTTAGGCCAAAATAAATTATAAAAACCATACCGAAAGCATGTATGAACGTAAGAATCGATATTTATGAACACTAGAAATTGGCTTGTAGGTGGTTAAACTACTAAACCACTAAAAAAACTAAGAATGCGCATTCTAAGTAGGTACTACCACAGATTGGTACCTACTATCAACGGTACTACATTACCAATTTTTCAACATTTGCATATTTACATTGATTTTTAAGTACAATGGACCAAGTAGTATAATGACCAAGGAGACTATTTAAATGGGGAGCTGCACAAATACATGTTTCCTTTATTGCGTTTTTCTACAATGACATCTTTTCCTCTGAATTATCAGGTAATTAATGGATACAATTAGCTAACAGTTTCCAATATACACAATATGTACCGACACGTAAGAAGGCTGCAGGAGTCAACTGGTTCATTGGCGCACGAAAAGGCGCAATTAATAGGATATCAATAGTGGGGATGCGTGATGTTTGAAAATATTAAAAACGAACTGCAAACAATGGTAAACAAACA